TTGAAAATTATTTCCAGCGATTTCTCTTGGCCGCTTTTACTAGGGAATTTTTTTTCCTAAAGTTATAACATGAATAGTTTCTGATATATAGCCGAGAGATCGGCTTATTGGACCACCCAGTACAGTTAAACTTCGAAAATGGTTAATCTCGACATTAACCGGTTAATCTTGACGTGAACCGAAATATAATGTTAATGTAGTACAAAATTTAGATATATTGACATTAACAGGTTAATGTTGAGTTTTACTATTCTCCTTGGTTAAGGTTGAATAATGTGTTAGAAAATAATACAACGTTGCCAATTTTATAAAAATGCCTGCTATTTATTCAAACATGATAAAGTTTTTAAATAAAGAGATTTTTTTAAATAAAGAGATTTTTCAATAACTGAAACTTTTCGGTAGCAATAAGGGGAGCCGGACATACATTGAACTGATTTCTTGTAAATAAGTGTGGAAATGTGCCCTTTTTTGTTCCGATTTTGTAATACATGATATATTCAACTGTCATAACAACGCCTAATATATTTCTTGCATCAGCTTGTCATCTATCAACATCGAGATTAGGTAATCTAACAGTATCACCAATTTTTGCGACCGGTAGTAACTATTTAGTCGATCTAAAAAAAATAAAGAATGGATGACTGATGACATTCTGTAGATGATGAAACAAAGAAGATTAATGAAAAACAGGGACGCGAAGAAATACCAAGAAACCAACCAGACAATTAAAAAAGAAATACGCAGAGCCAAGGAGACATGGATGCAAGAAAAATGTAAACTAATCGAGGAGCTCCAAGAGAAACACGATCATATAAATATCCACCCAAGAATTCGTAAAGCCACTGGTCAATACAAGAAGAGAAACACACACCTCCTCAGACATAAAGACGAAAATTTGACGATGACAGTGAATGAGAAGTTGGTTACCTGGAAAATATATATCGAAGAACTTTTCTGGGACGACCGAGGCAACCTTCCGTCGAACTTATTAAGATAATGAGTGAAGTGAGCACGAAGGAGTTAACTGAAGTGTTCAACGCCATATACGATTCAGGCAATATCCCAGAGGAATGGCTATTGTCAACATTTGTAACATTTTTTGTAACGCTACCAAAAAAAAAAAACGATCTGCGAAAACGTGTGATTTCCGAACTATCAGTCTTATGAGTCATGCACTTAATTTTTTTCTTAAAATCATACATGCCACAATTTACAGAAGAAATGCGAAGAAAATGTCGGTGAAATGCAATTCGCGCATTTCCATGGAGCACTTTTCACGTGGAGCACTTTTCACATTACAAGTCCTACTTCAGAGATGCCGCGATGTCAGTTGTGATGTCTATCTTTGTTTTATTAACTACGCCAAGGCATTTGACCGTTGTCAGCACCGGTCAAGAGTAGGATTGGATGAGAAGGACATTCGGATCATCATGAATTTATACTGGAACCAGCATGCTCAAGTCAAGGTCGAAGACAAGCTGACAAGTGAAGATCATGCTAGGAGTAAGGCAATTATGTGTGCTATCGCCGACTCTATTCAATATATACTCTGAGGAGATTTTTAATGAAGCCCTCACAAACCTAGACATGGGAATCCGAGTGAACGGTGAATACATCAATAATATCCGCTACGCCGATGACACTGTGTTACTAGCAACCAGCCTAAACGATCTGCAGGCCTTACTAGACCGAGTGCGAACTATGAGCGTAACATAGGGACTGAACCTCAATATTAAGAAAACTAAATTCATGGTTGTCAGCCGTACAAATTTAGATGCCGGGGCACTAATGGCAGGTAGCGAAGAGATCCAGAGAGTCGACAGATTCACTTACCTCGGAACTACCCTTAACGTACAATGAGACTACGCTCAAGAGATTAGATCCAGAATTGAAATGGCACGGTCTACATTTATTAAGTTGAGAACATTGCTGTGCTGCAGTGATCCCAGTTTGGGAACCAAGATGCTGGTAGTGAGGTGCTACGTTTTTCCAGTATTACTATATGGAGTTGAAGCCTAGACACTGACGCAAGCCACTGAAAAACGAATCGAAGCGTTCGAGATGTGGATATACAGAATGATACTAAAAATATCTTATGTGGACCATGTCACCAACGTTGAGGTCCTATAGTGCATGACAAAAGAAAAAGAAGTGGTTAATTTAATTAAACAACGTAAGCTTGAGTACCTCGACCACGTGATGCGGCCGTCGTATTTCGTGGTTGAAAAATCTCCAACAATGGTTTGGGATGACCTCAGCGAAGCTGTTTCGCAGAGCAGTCAACAAAACCATCATAGCCTTGATGATCGCCAACATCCGGACCGGATAAGGCACTGAAAAAGAAGAAGATAGCCAGGCGGGCTGGGCGGCTGGCTTCTCATTCGCTTCAATGCGATAAATGTCAGTTCTAATCCCCAGCTCGGTGTACAGAAAACAAAAAGGCTAACGCAGCAGTATAAAATTCCAAATGAATCTGCGGCTTAGTCTAGAATATGTTGGTATCTGATTGGCCCATGGTAGAGTAGTGCGGCACGAAATAAGGGCTTGCGGCTCGGTGATACTCCTCCATAGATCCCTACCGGAAGGGCGTGTGCCGCATAAATACCGGGTATATATATATATATATATATATATATATATATATATATATATATATATATATATATATATATATATATATAGTAACTATTTATTGTTTCGTTAAATTCTTTTAAATCTTCAAATGTTCCTTTAAATTATAGATTAGATGAAGGAATAAGATTTACAGAATACCAGAAACTGTTGTTTTTTATATAGGACTTCGTTTGTTTCATCGATTTCTGTTGTATCTGGGGGAATATTATTTACAGATGTCTTGGTCATGGAATGATCATGGAATGTCTTGGAATGGTTGGTTTCGTTTGGTACTCCATATTTGTTAGCGACATCTGTGATAACTGGAGAAATATTGTTTATAGAAAAGCTTAATTTGTCGTTTTTATTTGGCTTGTTTAAACTGGTTATAAAAGTTGTACCTGTAAGTAATAAAAAACCGAATAATTAATAACAATAATAGATATATTTATATTATACCTATAGTAGTTCTCCTATCATTGTTATGAGACTACGATAAATTTGTTCTAGCAACTTTGTCATTATTATTGTCACTTTCTGCACTATTTATTTCATCTAATAAATGCTGAAGATCTTTTGTATCTATTTCATTAATACAGTCCTTTGGGAAGATAGAATCTGATAGACCAACTTTTATTTTTGACCCAAACATTGCTTTGTAGGAAGACTGTTTTATTCTTGCACAAAAGGCTCTGTTTTTCACTAATTAAATAAATTTAAGGCCTTTAGACCATTCAGATATATTATTTGTTTGTATCCACGTTACTAGCATATTCTCAATATCACGATTAGCCCTTTCGTCGCTTCCTTGGAAATGACTATACCGAGGCTTTCCATTAAGAATTTTTAAATCTGGTCACATATTTTTCAGTTCATTTGTTACTGTGTTTAAAGTCACGGCCATTATCTGGTTAAATTATTGAAGGTGCTCCAAAAATAGAGAAAATTTCTACCAAATGTCTACCTATTTCATCTGCATTCTTTAAAGTTAAAGATATTTAAACGAATTTAGTAAGGCGATCCTGATATACAAAGATGAAACGAAATGGTCTATTCTGACTATTCATTTAAAAAAATATCATAGGTTTAACAACAAGGCTTTTTTTTAACTGGGATTTTGCTGACAGGGTATGCGAAATTTAAAAAAAGTGTACTACTAGTAAAGAAAGTGTTACTACTTCTTGTATATTTTTGTCCTTATTATTTGAAAAATTTAACATTTTTGTTATTCCCCGTATCCAATAATTAAATGTGCTTCATACAGAATGTTAAATAATTTCTCTTTTTTAACTAACTTTTTTAATAAGTAATATAAAAATTTCTGCTTACCTTCTTGCAAAGGAACAATAAGTTAAATTTTACACATTCACATCATACCTATTTGGCCAAACGTCCGTATGAAAAACCTGTTTTCTTAGCTTATCGTTTTGCTTTTTTTACGTAATTATAAATTAAATCATATTTTTCACGAGATAAATAATCACTGTTGTCATTCCTTTTTGTGGAAATAATTTTATCAAGATTCTCGAAAAACCGGTCTTTAAATTCATTGGACATATTGAATACTTACATTTTCATTTTCAAATAGCAATACTTTTTGCAGAAATGCCACTTGATTATGCATCAAAACAATGTGGACTTAAACCAGACACTGTGTTATTGTCGAGATTAGCCGGTTAATGTCCGATTCAAGACTGAAGATCGTTTATCTTTAGATATTAACCAACTAGACTGCAGGTGAATCTCGATATTAACTTGGTAATATTGGGATTAACCTGATTTCGGGATTATATATTCAAGTGCGGCAATATTACTTTAATAAAAGCTGTAGCAAACATGGGATCATACTAGATATTTTCCAATTAATAGGGCCACCCATATTGATTGGGTCAAAGAAGCTTGCAGTTTTTTGAAGGAATACCCTGTATATTTTTATATTTTTAAATTTTCCTCGATATTCTTGATTTTTTTTTAAATCTCAGGTTTTGTAATGTTATATAAAATTGTTTAAATGATAATTACGTTTTGTTGTCAATTCAGCCGCATAATTAACACTACTGTCTACAACAAATTAGTAAATAAACTTTCTCGCACAAATGCCGTACCCTGTATATAAAATTGCATTCGAAATCCTTCGGTATTATCGAAAGTACAAGTATGTTGTGTAACATTACGAAATCGTCTTAAAATGTTAAGATTGCAGTCTGCAGCTGAAATTGAAACTACATTTATTTCGTCAGTTTAGTTATTTATTTTTTCATCATCAGGAACATACTACAAAATTAACTAACGATTACATAAAAACATAACATTCATAATATTTTAACTTCAGCATCACAAAGTGAATATTTTTAGAAAATTGAAGCCATATTTTTTAATTTCAGGTATTACTCGCCTATGTCTGTCTTCTTGTTGGGTTTACCTTAAGCTTTTCAGTTCAATTTCACAACTTTCCACAATTCAGCGATCCCTGGAGAGCTCTAGTTAAAACCACTGTAATGATGATGGGTGAATTCGAGTATGGAGACATGTTTGCAGAAGACGAAGATTCACCGAAAATTTTACCAGCAACTTCTAGATTTATCTTTCTCATTTTTGTTATATTAACAAGTATTGTTTTGATGAACCTGATGGTTGGTGTTGCGGTAAGTGTAAAATAAGATTTTACTATATTTAAATTATTGTACTTTCTGATCAATTTGTGAAAGGACATCAATTTTTATTTTCTTTGCTTAATCATCTTCTAACTGATCTTTTGCCCTGCAATTTACCTTCCAATATGATTTGGAGTAATTCATAAATTTTACCTCTGAACACATGACCCAATTTTCCCTTTTTCCCTTTTTTTGAATATGATAAGTAATTTTTTTTTTTGGTTTACTCATGTGCCGAAGTACCCAAATATTAGTAAATTTTTGTATCCATGGAATACTCAGCATCCATCTATATGTATACGTTTTAAAGACATCTATTTTTTTTTCATTTTTAGAATCTATTGTTCAACTTTCACAGCCATACAAGAAAACAAAAAAAACTTAACATCTGCTCATTCGAATTCTGAGCTCTAGCCTAAAGTCTGATCTTGTAAACAATGTTTTCATGTAACATGCAGTTAGGATATTTTTTATTGCAATTGGAATACATTTATTTCAGTTCGGATAACTAAGACATTGGCGTGGACGGCAGAGATGTTCGAATAATTGAAAATTTATATTGGTATAAAACAACATCAGTTTTAGTAGATGGTGTGGAGTCACAGGCTTTCAATATTAAAAAAAAGTGTGCCAGGGATGCCTCTTGTCACCCCTGCTTTTTAACGTTTACTCCGAAAGAATTTTTAGAGAAGCACTTTCTGAAAAACAAGAAGGAATACTTGCGAACGGTGATGTCGTGGTACCTGAGTGAAGAAGATTCGAATCTCCACAATACTTAAACGTCTTAGCAAGACTAGTAAGATCATAAAAAGCATCAAGCAGAGAAAGCTGGAGTATTTCATGTAATGAGAGATCCCAAATATAGGTTGCTACAAAATATCATGCAGGGAAAAATAGCGGGCAAACGCAGTCCAGGACGAAGAACCTCATGGTTGAAGAACTTTCGAGATTGGTATGGTGTTACAAGCATGCTATTTAGGGTGGCAGTGAATAAAATTAAGATAGCTATGATGGTACCCAATGTTCTGAAAGGACATGTTACATGAAGAGAAGAGTAACTAAGTTTTCATACAATCAGCTGCTTTGCTTTTTTTTCAAAAAGTAAACTCTAATGATTTTACCCATAATAATAAAAAAACCTTAGTTGAATATATAATAATTATCGGTTAAAATTTGAACTTAAAATGTTTTTTTTTTACACAGATTACATTTTTTTAGAGGACCAAAAGATTTTGCTACAAATAGAACCTTAAAATAAAACTGAAAGAAAAAAAAATATTGTTGGTGGCTCCAGCGATATAGGGTGAAACGGATATTAATAATAATTTGGTAAAGATTAATTTTGATAAGTTATTGTAATTACTATTATTCCATATAAAATAGGTTTACCATTTAGACCTATCAGAAACACAAAATAAACATTTTTTTCCTTAATTTCCTTAATTAATTGAAAAAATTCAATCTAACAGTTTCCTTCTTCTTCTTTTTCGGCTTTTCTCATTATAAGTTCACCGTTTTCGTCCTCCACAGCACTCTATTTTCCCAGTCACCTTCTCTGAGGTCTCTATCTATCATAGCATTTCCGACGTATGTTTTCCATCTTGTAGCAGCTCTTTCTCACCGTCTTCTTCCCGGCGGGTCCCAGTTTAATATTCTTTTCGGCCACCTGTGCTCTGGCATTCTTTGTACATGCCCGTACCACTGCAGGGCTCTGTTTTCCAACTTTTCTGTAATTGAGCATTCTACTTCCATTCTGTTCCATATTTCCTCCGTTCTTATTCTATCCGCTCTTGTGATTTGTAAACATCTTCGCATAAAGTCCAGTTCAACTTTTCTTATTTTATTTCGTATTGTTGTTGTCATTGGCCATACTTCCGCTCCATATAGGATAATATTCATCACTATGCTTTGAAAGATCCTCTGTTTATTTTCTTTGGTTAGAGTGTTGTTCTATATCACTCCATGAAGTGATCTTGTGGCTTGTTTTCCCCGCGCTATTTTTATTTCTATATCTCTTTCATACCATCTCGGCTAATCATTGACCCTAAATACTTACAACTCTTAATAGTCTCTTCTTCTAAACATAAGTTCAAATCTGCAACCTCGGGTCCAATACGTAAGTATTCGTTGTTGCACATATTTATCTTAAGTCCCCAAAGTTCATATTATTCCTTTAATTTCCTTATCATATATTCCATATCCTGCCTGTCTTGTGCAAAAATGACTTGGTCATCTGCGAAAAGTAGTGAATGTAATATATTCTCTTGTACTGGTATGCCCATTGTTCCGCATTTTTTATACCATCTTTTCAAAACCTGATCTATATATGTTAAAAAGTGTAGGTGAGACCACATCCCTGTTTGAGGCCTTTTGTTGCGGTGATTGTTTGTGTTATTTCATCACCTAACTTAATTTGCACTTGTGTTTCTTTATACAGTCTTTGTGTTATATTCACCCATTTCTCTCTAACGCGCATTCTCCTTATTGCTTCTCATAGTTGTTTCCTGGGCACGCTATCGTATGCTTTCTGTAAGTCGATAAAGGTCATATGTGTTTCAATGTTTTTTTCTTTGTTTTTTTATTACCTGTCTTATAATGAATATATTATCTAAACATGATCTAGCTTTTCGGAATCTGGCTTGTTCTTCGCTATAATGGTCCATGTGTTGTTTTAGTTTTTCTTTTATAACTGATGAAGAGATTCTTGCTATTAAAGGCATTACACTGATCCCTCTGTAGTTATTTGGTGACCTTTTGTCACCTTTTTTGAAAATGAAGGACATGTATGATAAATTCCACTCATCGGGAACCTTCTTTCCTGCTTCGACTTTATTGAACAACATTCGTATAAAGGATACTATTCTTGGTCTCCATATTTCAGCAGTTCCATTTTTATGTTCCCTGGTCCTGGTGCTTTATTGTTTTTGGATTTATTTAGTGCTTTATATATATCTTCCTCTGTGATTTCTGCTTCCTCAGTTATTATTGTCACAGGGTCGTATGAGATATACTTCGGCCTATTCTCCTGCAATAATTTTGTGTAATGCTTTGTCCACTCTTTTGCTGTAATTATCTGTATGGTATTTTTACTTCGTTTATTACTTCTGGTGTTTTTTATTTTTTTCAATGCTTCCGTTAATCTGTTATACCCTATCGTATTGTTTATGTCTCTGCACATTCTCTCCCAGTATTCGTTGTTCTCGAGATTTATTCTTTGTTTAACTTGTTGTCTGAGGGTAACATATTCTCCCCGTCTTTCTGGGGTTCTGTCGTTTAGCCATTCATGAAATGCACTTTTTTCTTTTAATCATCTCTTCTAAGTCGCCACTGTATTTCTCCAAATATGTATTCTTATGTTGTTCAATGCCCAGCACTTCGTTTGCCGCTTTGTTTATTTTTTCCTTTAGGTGTTGATTAATATCTCTTGGGGTCCATTCTGCGTTCATCTGTAACATATTCTGTAGCCTATTCTGATATAGTGTTCGAGTACTAAATTGTTGTAGAAGTTCTACTTTATAATTCGTATTTGCGATTTTTTGCATCTCCTTATCTTTCTGGATATTGTCTTTTTGTCGTCTTCCCGTGTATATGAATTTTCCTAGCACTAATCGGTGGTTACTTGCACATTTTGCTTATCTGTATCAGTTGTCTGTAACTTCTTCCTTCTTCCTTTGTCCTATTCGTTTCGGACGTTCGCTATTAACAAGGCTATTTTGACTTTTTTTACGGCACCTCTGAACAGTTCGGTCGATGTTAGTCCGAACCATTGTCGCAGGTTATGCATCCATGAGTGTCATCTTCTTCCTGGTCCCCTCCAACTGTCGATTCTTTCTTGGACTATTAACTGTAGCAGCCGGTACTTAGTATGCCTCATGACATGTCCGAAGTACTCAAGCTTCCGTTTTTTTATGGTGAAGATTATTTCTTTGCTTTTACCTATTCTCTGCATTACTTCCACGTTGGTGATGTCTATTCTGTATGATGGATATCCAGGATATCCGAAGAATACGGCGATATATCCACAGCTCAAAGGATTCTAGTTTCTTCAGGATGGCTTCCGTTGTGGTCCATGCCTCTGCTCCATAGAACAAGACTGGGAAGAGATAACACTTGACCAGTCGTAATTTTAGTTCCGTTGAGATTTTGCTTGTGAACCACTTTTTCATACTGTTGAACGCGTTTCGCGCTTTTTTAATTCGTGATCTTATTTCTGTTTTCTGTAACGGTTTCCGAAAACGTTAAAAATTATCGAGGTAAATATTATTTAAAACTTTTCCTGTACGATCATAGTAATATTGAATAGAACGTTAATATAATTATAATATAACCTATACAGTTGAATGCACTTTCACAAAATTTTATTGCAATCGGTTTAGTGGTTTTTGAATATTAGCCTGGACAAACATCGCGACACAAGATTTTTATATATAAAAATATTGTATTAATAATAACGTTTTGTCCCATTTGTTTAAATTACCAAATGATCATACTACAAAAGGTTCGGGTTATTATTTTAATTTTCCTCTCAAGAGCGGAATATATATCCGAAGTCGAGAAACCCGAAAATTCTTTGCAGAATAAATCACAAATATAAAAGGACTGTGTTGACAGTTAACATTTCACAGATTTATTTATTTTAAAGGTGAGCGACATACAGGAGCTCCACCGGCGAGGACGGGCGAAAAAATTGGAAAAGCAAGCTGAGTTTTTACACCAACTGGAAAAAGTAATCTCTTCCAAACACCTCAATTCCGAATATATGCCAGAAATAATAAAGAGAGTTATTTTGAAAAGAAGTTACATCCATAACGAATTCGAAGTTAAATCGTGCGCTGAATTCCAAAGACAGAATAAGATTCCTAAAAGGATAATAGGTAAATTTAATTATTTGATTAAGTTTTTAATACTTTTTATTCTATTATATACTTTCATTTGAAATAATTTTTACGTGAATCTGTTAAAACTGTTTTGAAGATTTTAAACAAAAACTGATCATAGAATTTTTAAATTATTATTATCTTAGCCATACGGCTTACACTCTCTCTAAGGAAAAAATTCACTTACCCCAGATACCTTACGGTATCAAAAGAATTGTCAAAAGAAAAGGCAAAAAAGTATTTTTGAAGTGTGTATATTTTTTAATAATTCCTAGCTGAGCGCTTTCGGCTTTACAAAGCCATCATCGGAGCTATGCTACAATAAAATGTTTTTATAAGGAACTAATTGGTGAATATTTTAATTTTATACTTACGTCAATTTATAAATACCACTACACTGGAGAGATCTCATTTCCTTATTTGTTGAAATTTTGATTTTTTTAATTACTTAGTTGTTAAAAATTCTTAAAAAACATACAAAAAACCGACACTGGACTTCACAGACACATTAAAAAATTTTTGTCATGGTACGGGTGTAAGAACCCGACCATTGTTTACTATGAGGAGGTAGACAGAATAGAACTAATGAAATCAAATATCGGTCCCTTTAAACGATTTTTCAATAGTGACAGTTGACAAATGTCATGTACAGAAAATAGAGATTGTTTTAAATTCTTACAAAATTATTTAATAGTTGGAAATTACTAATAGTCATCAAAGACTTTCCAAAAATTAAGTTTTTAAGCTTTTAAATTAAATCTTATGTGTTCATCACATCATACAGAATGATATTAGTTTGTAAATTGACTCAAGTCATTGATCAAGGTCAATGTATGTTTAATCTGACAGTCATCCCTAAGAAACAAGGGTTCAAATCGTTCAGTAATAATATAGTATAAAGATTGTTGCTTAAGCACACAAATCAACCTCAATTGCAATTATAAACCTCTTTTTAAATTAATATGGGAGACTTTAGAGGAAGAAGGGTGACCTCATGCAATCTTTACAAATTACATTTTTTTAATTTTATATTTTTAAACAAAAATTCTAAACTTTACTATAAATTTACAACATTTTATAATTCATTTGACAAGTTATTCTTAATTGAAACATGAAAATATATTCTTTAAAAAAATTTGTATGCAAACTTCTTACAAATTTCCATCAAGAGATACAATTCTCAATACACTTAAATATCAGATCATGTAACATTAATACCATGTTTCTTCTTTATATTATTACTGAACGATTTGAACCCTTGTTTCTTAGGAATGACTGTCAGATTCAACATACATTGACCTTGATTAATGACTTGAGTCAATTTACAAACTAATATCATTCTGTATGATGTGATGAACACATAAGATTTAATTTAAAAGCTTATAAACTTAATTTTTAGAAAGTCTTTGATGACTATTAGTAATTCCAAACTATTAGATAATTTTGTAAGAATTTAAAATAATCTCTATTTCCTATACATGACGTTTGTCAACTGTCACTTTTGAAAAATCGTTTAAAGGGACCGACATTTGATTTCATTAGTTCTATTCTGTCTACCTTCTCATAGTAAACAATGGTCGGGTTCTTACACCCGTACCATGACAAAATTTTTTTAATGTGTCTGTGAAGTCCAGTGTCGGTTTTTTGTATGTTTTTTAAGAATTTTTAACAACTAAGTAATTAAAAAAATCAAAATTTCAACAAATAAGGAAATGAGATCTCTCAATTGTAGTGGTATTTATAAATTGACGTAAGTATAAAATTAAAATCTTCACCAATTAGTTACTTATAAAAACATTTTATTGTAGCATAGCTCCGATGATGGCTTTGTAAAGCCGAAAGCGCTCAGCTAGGAATTATTAAAAAATATACACACTTCAAAAATACTTTTTTGCCTTTTCTTTTGACTTGTCATAAGTGTGTACAAAAAAACATATCAGTGTTTTGATTATCAAAAGAATTGAGCTCTGGTGAAACTCTTTCCGTGTTATCGAGCCCTAGGTGACTTTTTATGCTGAAGTATCTACCCAAAATTTTCGTTCACAGCTGGACTGCATCTTTCTGCATGGTCTTGTAGAGATGTTTATTCAAACCTGGCTTTTTTATGTTTTCTAGGAGGTTCTTCGGAATGACTCCAGTAGTAGGAAGAATAATAGGTATTGTCTGGGGTACTTTACATTCTTCACTGTCTTCGTATTTGAATTTCCAGATCCCTGTACTTAGCGATCTTTTTGTTCTGTTTAACATAAAGATTATTGTTGTTGGGTATTGCCACATCAATTAGTGTTGTTTGTCCCTTTAGTTTATTAACTGGTATAAGGTCTGGTCTAATATATGCCACTGTTTGGTCTGTGAGCACAGTAAGGTCCCAGTATAGCTTGAACTTATCATTCTCGAGTATACTTTTAGGAACGTATTGATAATATGGGAGATGGTTTGTTTGGAGAAGTCCCAGTTTGATGGCTATCTGTTGATGAAGGATATTTCTTCTTGAGCTTAAAATCCATATCGACATTTGTCATTTTGAAGCTAACGGTCTTTGATGATATATTTTAGGTAATTTTTGGTTGGTATAACCTGATCCTTAATGGCAAGTTATGAACCTTCTGTTTCAGGGAACATATTTTCTGATGTCAGCCAATAATTCGACGCTATATTGTCGACCGACCTCATTGGGATGTCGCCCGTGCAGAGGTTTACCCACCCAGGTACTTATTTTTTCGTCTTTCATAAGATGGTTTATGCCCATTTCTGATTCCCTCAGTTTGATTGATGTTGTATCATTTACTGCACAAAATGCACCTGAAAATAAGTTCTTAAATCAGTTATCTGTTTTTTTAATTGTTTCCTCAAATCCATAAGTGCTGGTCCTCCTAAATACCGTGGTAATGTTGTTTCTACTGCACTTCGAAAATGGTGTTTTTGTGTTTTGTGAGGTGTGTTCATACTTTTCGCTTATTTTAGATGTGAACGGAGCAGCTGTTTTACCCTTCGTATGAAATCTAATGTTAATACGATTTTCATTTGTTTATGCTCAATTTTCCGCGCTTGCCTTAGTCCTAGATATTTATACATGTCATTTTCGCCCATAACCTTGATGTTTTGGCCACTTTGCATATCGAGTCCTCCGGGTTAAACCTTTCTCTTGACTTTATTTACTACATGGCACTTGTTTAACCTAAAGTGCATATTGTTATTATTTAAAACAATTTCTACGGTTTTTATCAAGTGATTTCGAGTGGAAGCCATTAATTTTAAATCATCCATATACAACACATGATTTAGCTTCGCCACTACAGTGTTGTTGTTTTTAATGCTAAAATCTGAGTCAATGGAGTTCAATAGCTGGGATAGTGGATTCATCGCTAGAGAGAACCACAATAGACTCAGGATGTCTCCTTTGAATAGGCTACGGTTAATTGCAATATTTTCCGTTTCGATATTGTTTTGTCCAGGTATTTGGAGGTGAATTTTAGTTTTATAATCTGTCTTTATATGTCTTAAGAAGGTCACTGTATTATCACCGACTTTATATATTCTTAATATATCTACCAGCCATTCATGCGGCACTACGTCAAAGGCTTTCTTATAGTCAATAAAGGCAGTGACGAGCTTCCTTTTTTGGTGTATGCTTGGTAAGAAATGACTGAGTCAATAACAAGTTGTACTTTGCAACCCATGGAACCCGTAGCGCATCCTATCTGTTGAAGTTCTATGATATTGTTTAGAGCGCAGTGATGGTAGATACGCTGGGCTACACAGGATGTGACCAATTTACACAGAGCTGGAAGACAAGTAATTAGGCAGTACTTGGCTAGATCTTGGATATTATTTTGATCCTTCGGTATTAAGTAATTTGTTCCATGAGTTAGGAATGATGGTATTTCCTGCGGATTAGAAATAACACGAATAATTAGTATTGTTCTGAAGCTATTTTCTTGTGGCATTTTAAATTAATTACTATTTAACTGGGAATGAGCCACAATTAAAGATAAAAATACGTTTATTGACGTTTCAATTTCCACTTCGGAAATCGTTCTCAAAATACAAAACGATTTCCGAAGTGGAAATTAAAACGTCAATAAACGTATTTTTATCTTTAATTGTGGCTTATTCCCAGTTAAATAGTAATTAACGAATAATTAGTGTTGACAAGCACTAGTGAGCACTCTTACACTTTTTAAGCCAGAAGTTTTGAACTCCGTCTGGTTCAGGAGATTTAGTATGGTTCAGGAGAGTTATGAAGCTCTTGGATAATATTAGAGACTTCTTCTGTGGTGAAGGGTTCGTAAACAGTTGTATGGTAGTGTTGACAGCTGTGTGAATGGATAGAAGCTATCTTCTATCCATTCAGAATTGGTGTTAAAAGCAGCAGCTGGCGTGGAAAGTTGATTTCCCCAATACTCCTGAATTTTTTCTTGGCTTCGGTATGATTTTAAAATTATTTATATATAACAAATGAGGGCAGGGGAGTGAACTCCTATTATGCCCAAAAAAACAAAGAAAAATATCATTATAAAACTAATACCAATTATAAAGTTATAACTAAGTATATCATACATAAATAGTGATACAATAAATGAATAATGGGGTTCTAAAAGAACAGAATCCCATAAATAAACTAAAAATCTATCAAGTTTATTTTTATTTTAAAGAAACAAAATCTTGATCCAAATGTTTCTAGATATTAAATATTTTATTTGGCAATAGTTTACCCTGGACCATGCAGTAGTTTGTTCCCTTTTTAATTTTAAACGATGGCCTCTTAACCTTTCGTCTTGATATAAAGTGAATATACTTAAGGTTTTTCCAAAATTATGTTTTAAAATACGAAGAACATAATTAGTTCACCTCGAAGACGTCGCTGCTCGAATGCCATTAGATGACTATATTCGTAATTAGGTCTTACACCATCTTATTCCGTATGCCAGTCCTGTGTCTTTACGGTAAAAATCTTTAAGTACTATTTCATCGCTATTGAAATCTGGATTCCACAC